GTCACCAATTAAATCCGTTAAAGTCATGAGTGCTAAATAGTATGCAGCAACGAAACTGGACAGTTCATGAAAGTCATCAGTCCAACCTTTGGCCCACTTTCTATTGTCCCCATAATGAATTTCATTAACGCTCTAAACTAAATATACAAGTTGCCGTTTTCCACCCATGACAGCATCACGTTGTCCTCCGGCTAATTGGGAATTAAGTGTGTGTTTGCACTGGTAGGTCAGCAAGCCGCCAGCAATGTCGTAGCCGCCGTCGCTTTTAACTTTTCGTGGAATCCAAGCGAAGGTCGCTAATGGTTTTGCAAGAGAGGTCAGCTGACGTTTGGACGTACATCTTGTTAAAGCTTCGGGGTTTGGCGGTCACCTTGGCTCAGCGGGTGACGCGAGTGAAGACGGCGGCCGTATGGAAACTGGATGGAAGGTCAAAACAAAATGGGTGGAGGGCACGGCAGGAAATCGTGAGACGAGATAGAAGCGTTAAAGAAGATAAAGACCACACAAGATGAAATAAGGTTTTAACATCAACACTACATACAATCCCAAAGCCATATATTATATATCTTTTCAGAGTCAATCTCAGCTATTCATGTATGTATTTTTACAAATTGTATTTTATACATGGCATGATGCCATTCCAACTTAGTTTAGACACTCATACAGTTTTTTATGAGTACTTCTCAGCTAACCTGACCCTCCCCCAGGATACAATGCACGTATCCTGGCTGTTACAGGCTGTTATGACACCTCACAAAAAGACTCAAACGAACAACCGGGCACAACGCAATGCACAGACCGGCAGAAACAACAGAAAATTCTTAAACCACATCCAACAAATATTTCATATTCTAAAGCTCCCTCTCTGCTTTATTTTCTTTCATTAGCAGTGGAAAATCTGTATGATTCTTTCCATGCGGTTCAGATAATAGCTGTTGGTCCCAATAGAGATGATTAAAAGTGAGTATTTTGGGGGGATTATGTCATTTGAATGTCATTGCATGATAAAATGTCAATGCTGCATTGCCAAATCACACACACACTTACACACATTTAACAGTATAAATTCCATCATTAGTGTCATAGTAGGAATCCACATGACAAGTATCTTTCAATACTTTGTCGCTATCGCACCAGTTTTACTGCAAAATAGTTTGAATTGGTCAGAAGCAGTTATTGAGTCACTTGTTTGTCTTTTTGCATCGATCAGCAGCAAGGCTGAAGTCATACCAGGGAGTGAATTGGCATTATTTGCCTTTATGTTAGTACAAACCACCAATATAATTCTTAGCACTGCGACAGCAATATACTGGGAGACAACTTATTAAATATAGCATTAGACGTCTGGTGTTAATGGTGGAAACCAGACGATACGATTATGAGATTATCAATATATGATTAAAAAAAAACATCTATGCTAGGTATTAAAGCAAATCTAACATCCCGTCATATGCAATGCACTATGCGGTAATCAATTGTGGAGATATAACCTTAAGCTTAATTTGCAGTCAGTTAAAAGCATTGTCACCCCTGTATACCTTTAGTATCTCCACACGGCTGACATGGCTCCTACCCGGAACGTATGTCAGGCTGATGAAGTGGTATCAGTGTGTAGTACAAGTGCATTTTCATAAGGGTAAGTATTCTACAGACGGTATCAGTGTTCCCTTACTGTACTCCACCAATAAAAAGGGTTTAAATGAATCTGAATTTGAATGACCTGTCTTTTCCCCACTGATCAGCAGTTAAAAACACTTTGCTCAAGTTATATTAAGGACTAAATGACTGTAATTGTTGTGGTTGCACAGAATACAGCAGCAGTATTTTGTGGCGAGCCAACATATTGAATGTGAGATTAGATTAATTTCATTATGTCAGACACAAAACAGAGCCATAGTTGCCAATGACAGCTATCCGTTGTTATTTTTTGGCACCCACCATCCAGTATCTTGTTAATCTGCCGTCAAGCGCCTAAATTTGACACCCCTGAACACCAGTAAAGCGTCCTTGTCTGCTTAGACTTGTAAAAGCTTAATTCACAAACCCTTTTTACCAAGTATGACATTTGAATGTTATCTATCTGTATTATTGATTACAAGACACACACTGACAAACATATGTACTTCACTACTTCGGAGCACGGTTTGAATAATTACTGCACGAACACGGCATATTCATGGACATAAATAGGCTTTAAATTCATATATAATGAAAACAGAAAATCTTTTTTTCTTTACACTGATTAACCGTGAGGGGGAAATGGGCGGAAGTCATATTGGGGATTGAAATTGGGATGAAGTCACTTTACGTTTGGCAATAGCAAATATAATTGCTGCTCATGCACAAAAAACAGCCCTATTAGGGAATAATTTATAGACGATAACATTGGAACTTCATTATAACAATTGAAGTTCAAGGCAGGAACACACTGCACTCATCCTCTTTTCTTATAGATAGAAAGAACATTAGTAAACTATGACTAATAGTCATATTCCACACAAAATGGAGGAATTTCTCTCCATTTTGTGTCCACCGTCAAGGTGTTTTAATGCTGATAATGAACTGTATTGTGGAGCAGGTCCCGTTCAGTGTTTCAATTTACAACCTCTGAACTTATGTCTCATTCAAACTTGATCAGCGTTCATTCACAAATACATTATTAAATCTTTTTCGGCACTTTCTCTGACAATTTGACACAAAGTTTCATTCCCCGGTCGAAATGCGGCGCCAAACAACATGACGACAAACTCCATTAAAACTTACCAACACGTTCCAGGTGTCCGCACCTGATGCTCTAGCCCAGCAACAGTCGAACCGGCACCAACACTGGCACGGGACGTCTCGTTTCTCTGGGCCTCGTTTCCGTACTATCCCTTCCCGGTGCGGTGCACGTCAGAGATGCCAAAGAAGCTACGGTCAAAGCGAATCTGTAAAGACTGACCGCTCGAAAGAAGTCAACAGAGCCATCCAGTGAGGCGGTGGTGTGGTCAAACTCGCATAAGGTTGGATGCCAGCGAGATGATACCGGAAACTGTCTTTCAAAATGAAAGTATATATCGTCACGCCAGAAGATGGGAAATGTCGTCAGACAAGGATATGTGGCTTATCAGACAGTTTGCGCTCTCGTTGAACTGAATTTGATACGAAAATGCGTTTTCGACAAAAATGACAATGTTTTCCAACTCGGCTGCCATATGTATTGTTTTATCTTGAAATGTAAATCCCGAAGTGAGGGTCTCCAAGTTAAAAACTTGTCAAATAGGTAATTTTCAAATGGATTACCTGGCACTCAATAAAAGAAGCTCAATACTTATATTATGAATCAAATATATTCATCCAACCATCCATTATCTTTTATTCTTTATAATGTTTTAAATGCCTTCATACTTAGTTTAATCATTATTATATTGATATAGGTTATAGTAGGTTAATCGTGATTTTAATTGTGAGATTGGTTGTTCGTCTATACGTGCCCTGTGATTGCCTGGCGACTAGTTCAATACAAGACAATACATATTTATTTATATAGCCCTTTCACAACAGCTGCAGCCGTAAAACAAAGCGCTTTACAGAACATTTAACATAAAATAACAGTAATACAACAGAACACATAACATAAGACATCACCCAAGTTTGAAACCCAACTTTGAAACCCTAAACAGACCTGAATATAGAGTGGCTAGCCCCCCGTGGGAGGTATACATGGATGACATTGTCACACATGAGAGGTGATGACTACTTTTTGGCCTCGCTGTCATCCTCCTTGGTGCAAAATGCGCTGGCCTTCTGGCAAGTAGGCATCGTAAAAATAGAATCTGGGGTCCTGAAACATAACACTCCCCCTTCCTCACCACCTTAAACCTTCTAAAAGAATCAGTGTTGTTGTTAAATCAACATGCTAACGAGCTTGTATTTACGTGTCATTTTATTAACATGCTTTGGTTCACGTGGAGTGACAAAAGGTCAGGACATTAAAGCCTGGCAGGAGGTGCAGTATCTGAAGCCGGGTGCACCTGCCCGCCGTCGGGTTCCATGGGTGCCCTTTGGGTGCTGACAGCTCTGCTTATAGATGCTAAGACAGGACAGGGCACATTCCCCGACATCACTGATTCAAGCGCTCACAACTGAATATCATTTGTTATGAAGAATCTTCAACACAAGGTGGTCGAACGGGCTACGCAAATGTCGGGCCACATTTGAGGATGTTTCCCTATTTTTGATCAGTCATGAAAAACTCTATTCTAAAATGTCTGGAAAGTTAATCCTCGAATTAGATTTTCATCTGGCCTAGGTGTCATAAATGTGAGCATATCCTCACTTGTTAGTGTTTTTAACTATATACTGTATATTTTGATTGCTATTTTATCAACAATCTTTACTGGTCAAAAAGTCTATGATTATTTTTCTGTACTCTACTAAAACAAGCTCTTTATTCATTTTGAATAATACCAGACAGAGCTAGTACATTTCCCTTAGTGCAAATTGATTGCAAGGTACCCGTACACATTATTGTGCTGTTATGCACAGCAGCAGACACACAAAGTGAACACAGGCCTCCTCCCACTCGTGGCGCTCTCAATATCCTGTAGTGCATCAACCTGGTCGCCAAGGCAACCGGAGCGCCAACCACCACATACGGCATCTGAGACTTTAAAAAGCCATCTGTGAGCGACCACTCTGTCGAGCAGGAGTTTATTAACTTTAATGGCGTAAGTACAGGCAGGCGCGTGGGAAGACAGACAAAATGTGTCCGACAAAATGTTAGCCGTAGATAAAAAAAATGTGTCCATCCATTTCTCACATCATACAGCAGGTAAACCTGTTACCTAGCAAAAAAAAAAAAAAAGCACAGACAAAAAGTTAGTTGGTTGGTTGATATTGTAAATTGCTGGCTAAGAATTCGACAAAAAATGAGACAAACACAAATATGGACAGTCAACCACTCAGTCAGTCAGGTAGTTCGCTATTTTGTCTTTTTTTTTTTTGTTTGTTTTAATGCACTGATCTTCCATTTGCAGCGAGCAACAGAATAATTTTCCGATATTTTACGAAAACACAAATATGCCAGTTAGTCACAGCTGACTAACCTGATGTATCAAAAGCAAAGTGAGTAATAGTGCAGTGACTTCATACTTTAGACTTCAAGTGTTGAGTTAATCCAAGATAAAAAATACAAATACATTTAAATAAATTGTATAATTGTGAGACCTTGAGAAGTGAATACAGGCAAAAGCAGAATAGAAAAGACCAGTACATTAGTTGGCTCACTTCAAATTTGTCTGAATACGTATGTGACATAAAGCATTTGAAAAGACTTTTTGATTAGATGACATTATAATAAAATAAGATAAAGGTATAATAATGATCATAATGCCGGGAGTTTAGCAAAGGTCATTGGTGGGGAAATGAGACTTGTCATGATCAACGATAACACATTTATTATATGAGAGCCAATAATTACCTCAGCCAGGGAGCCTCTTTTCATCTTTCTGCGCCACTTCCTGTCTCGGCTACTTGTTATATCAACCATCATCGTCAAAATTGTGCACAACCGTATTATATTAATATTGTATTAACATACAATCTTTATTGTGCTTTACTGTTCCTGCCGACGAGCGAAGGTTACTCGTGGCTCCAGGCCTGTGAAAATGTCACAAAGGCCCCGTTTCATTTTCAGACACGAAAATAGACATTTCCCGCCAGAGCAAACCTACTTTCCCTGACTATGACCCGGCCGCTATGTTGCACATGCTGCGTGCGTAGTGCTACCCCAACGTCACCGCATGGAGGGCGTCATGAAGCTACGCCTTACCATCATTTTGGCTGTCATGAACTTCCGCCGTCGTCCTTCGCGTACATTTAACCTAAAAAGACTCACAAAGGAAACGTGAGGCTATGTACCTTTGAATCAAGCAAGCAGCTAGCTACCTTACAAACGCTTGACACCAACATGGATCTTCATAAATCGTCCACCATGGACCAGGAAGCTTCTTTCCTTGCTATCCAAACTGAAACTCAAAAACAAATGTGGAACTGAGTTCATTTGTAACATTGTTAATTAGTTGTTATATTGTTTAAAAAGGTTACTGACAATACATTTGTAGCTTCTTAGCTAGTTCATTAGTTTAATGATTACTTTAAGTTGTCCTCAAGGAGCAGGAGTTAATCTGCTACGAATAATCAAACAGACAAACTACTAATATCATGTTTAGTCCGTTTGTTCATTTGTTTATAAATTATCTTGGAAATAGTGTTAATTTTGTTTCTTATCGTTCAATGTTTTCCATGAACCAGGAAGTCACTAGCTAACAAACCAACACAAATGTCGGTTAGTTAGTAAGAAAAGTAAGTACTGTAATACTGTTTAAACATGTCACTGTCCACCAATTTGTTGTTTAAGTTATTATTTCATCTATATTTCATATGCATGTCATTTTTCATTGATCAGAAGGTAACCTGGTTGTTCAGTCAGTTCCTTATTTCCTTCCTTCTTTCCTTCAACCTGACACGCCAGATTCACAGATTTGGTTTATAAGCAATCCAAAGGAGTTCTCAGATGATCAATTATATCGTTCTCAAAATCACATTAATTCATTTTTTAATATCATTAAAAAAATGAAAGACGTCCCACAGAACAATGACCCTACAGAAGCATTTTAGTAACCGTATATTTTTAGGTTTCTGTTGAACTTTTGTTTTCTTTCAAAAGTGCTTTATTCCAACATTAACTTGTGTGACGCGGCTGTGTTCAGACAATATAACGTAAGGTCACGCCAGGGTCGCTCATTTCCGCCTGCCTGCCAAGTCCTTGCGCTACCCCACTCTCTGCTTGTCCTTCAATTTCCTGCCACTGTGCCAGACAACGGCACGCCGCGGCAAAGGCTTTTGACTGTGCAAACAAAATGGGCATGAATACACACCCACACACAAAAATACTTCAGTTTAATAAATCATTTCTCGTAAGCGTTCCTCTTAGAGAGAGCACAATTCTTAAAAAAAATCATAAGAATGTGATGCAAAATAGTGACCCAGTATAGCTTTGAAAATGACTACGAAGGCCAAATAATAAGACTTAGGCTTCTAGTTTCGTGACCAGTGTAAATCCGGCGCAGTGTGTGGCATAGTTGTGTGGCACTGGGTTAGATATGGTTGGTATTTTCGCAGACGACCGCAGGCCAGTGTTTTCTGCGAGAGCGCAGAGTGCGCCGCTGTGGGAGTGATCACTGCTTAATTCAATCGTGGCCAATTAAATCATCTCATTTCATTCCCTCTATATGCGCATGCTACTTGCACGCAAGGGCCTTGACATGTCGGAAGCACAGCTGCACCATTAAGTGGGCACTTGAGAGACAACACACACAAACACGCATGCGCGCACACACACACCCTTGATCGCTCATGTGTGTGTCCCTTCAGGGTTGAAAATGAATGAAGCATGCGATGCTATGCTAAAACGGTCTCATGACTCTCTCTGTGTTGAAAAATAGTAACGTGATGCAAAAAAGTGGGACAGAACATACTTTTATGCATGAGCATGAGTACATGAATGACATTGGCTACACACACACGCACAAACACACACATGCACAGGGGGATGTCAAATTGCAATCAGTGTGCTCTGCATGTGCAAAAGGAAATAATCAGCGTTGATTAGAGACGCTGAGTCGGCTCACAGTCAATCATATGTTTCCGCCTCCTCCCCAACAAGTCAGGCTTAGTGCCATGTCGGTGCGTGTGTGTGTGTGTGTGTGTGTGTGTGTGTGTGTGTGTGACAGAAAAAAAATAATGTTGCTTTCTATCATTTGCATTTGATGATTGATTGATGCCAGTGAGATCAATTAGTTGTGCTTTCTTCCGCGACTCGCAATGATGTTAAATGTGTGTTCAATGAGCCGGGCTGGAATACACAAGCACATTAGTGATGCAGGAATACAATATGAACACCATATAATGACTGTGGAGGGCACATCTTTTCAAATTGTCAGTTTTCATTCATCAAAAGTGTCAAAGTAATGTCTTGCGATATGTTTGCTTAAACTGAGACGCTTTATTTGGCTAATTTCACAAAATGAATCCGTTCCTTCACCTTATTGCAGTGTGATTATCATGTAATGTTTTTGATGTTTACCAATCGTTCTTTGTTCATATTTCTTCATGTTTTGCAGTGTGATGATTTTATTTGTAATTCTGTGGGGTTTCAATGTGATTATTTTTCATAATAAGCATTAAAAATATTTGATACTTCTTTTGCATTTTTTGTGGTTGATCAAATATTTGCCTATGAGCCATACTAAAGCATTTTACACATTAATGGTATTAATATTTCAATTTATTTATTACTCCGTATTGTTATTGGGTTATTTTCTAGTATTTTGTTTTTGTGGGTTTTAGATTCATCATCTAATTATGAATCATTTTGATTTTGATATTTTTTCATTATTATTTTAGTACTTGCAATTGTTTTGAAAAGTTCTGATGGTTAATTTATTTTCAAATATCATAATTCAGTATTTGCCCAATTCCTGTTTTGTAGTTTTTGTAATTATTTTAGATTCAATTGACTGACTGACAAACAACTGTTTGAAAGTGCTCTATAAATAGACTTGAGTTGAGTTGAGTTGATATATTTTCCTATTCATATCATCCATTGAATGTTGCTATTGTATTTTCTTTTAAATTAATGACATTTTTGTTTTGGTTGTATTTTTACCTATTTAAATTGACGCTCTTTGCTTTTATGTGCACGGTCACCACAGTGTGGACGATTCCCGACACAACATCGCCCTCTATTGGTATGTGAAGGCATCAAACACCAAATCAAATCAGGGTAATCAAGGCAAGAAAGAGTAACTTAAGTAAAGTTAAAACGGGGTTTAATTTCATCATGGACATAAATATTATTAAAAATACTTTCACAGTGCAGATTTCATTAAAAGACTTTTAGGCGGGGTTCGGGTGAACATTCCACCACCATGTGTTCCATCCACCTCTTGACAACAAACTCATAATAAGTTAGCGTTAGCTTGTTAAGAGTCCAGGAGGTGTTGATGGCAGTATTCGCTGAAGCTGAAGTGCTCCACGGTGAACGGGACGTCCTTCCACTTCTTGACGGTGGTCCTGCCGCTGGGTGTCTGCAGGGCGAAGTCTTTAATGGCCACATTGGGCAGGAGTGCCACTTTGCGGAACTTTATCTCATAGCCCCATTGCTGCAACGCAATGCATTATGGGACACTAAATTTATGACGTGGTGCTGTTTTTTTTTTTTTTTTTTTAATTACATCATCTGGTGTGCCACGGGAAATTATCCGATTAAATGTTTGCCCAGAAGGTGCGGTCATAGGTTTACGATTATTATTACTGTGGCTTACTGAGGTGACTTGACCAGTTACATGTACTGTATAACTGTATGTCTCTATTATACTGCACACACACACACACACAGACACACACACACACACACACACAAACACACACACAGGTACTGAAAAAGTAAAGACGAGGTATTGTGTTACCTTGTTGCAGTTGCCGTTGTTGCACTTGATGCGGCAGCCGGGCTCCCAGTCCTCAAACGTCTTCTTCAGAAGGACCGGAGAGCCCTTCTTGTAGTGCCTCCTGAGAGTACAGACGCATGTCAAACATCGCGTCATGCTGTTTTATGGTTGTCATCACATTTTTCTTCTTTGCCATCAGTAGGGTCCTTCTGTGGTGGGCTCAAAGCAAACTGAAGAAACTCAAAAAAACAAAACAAAAGAAAAAAAAACTAAGCACTTTGGTGCTCAAGGGCATCATTTGATTTATTTTTTAAACGCACAGATAGGCAACATCATTCGTAGATGATGTCGCAATATGTATTTTTAAATGTATGAAAACAGATAAAATGGTGTATTATAATAGTAAATAGTTTCCTATTGAACGGTGCGGTATAGACTGGTTAGCACGTCTGCCCCACAGTACAGAAGTGCAGGGTTCAATTCCGGCTCCAGCCTTTATGTGTGGAGTTTGCATGTTCTCCCCGTGGCTGCGTGGCTTTTCTCTGGGTACTCCGGTTTCCTCCCACATTCCAACAACATGTATGGTAGGCTGATTGAACACACTAAATTGTCTCTAGGTGTGAGTGTGACTATTTATTGTAGAGGAAACGTGGCGAATGCAAATTCTGAGTGTCAGGTTGACGAAACATATGAGCTGACCTGAATTGCGGGTTGACGTTGACATAATGCATGTTGTCCAACAGCTGGATGTCGCTGCCTTGCGCCACTGCCGTCAAACAGTTGCCGCACAGCAGCTGGACGTTGGCGGACAAGTAGCGACCGTTCTTCTCCATCATCTGGATCTCCGCCATCCGGTTGCAAAGCATCGCCCGCGCCTGGAGCTCGTCGATCTGCCGACGAACACCCGGACATGAGGTGAGATGGCGTCTCATTGGCTGACCATTAATCCTTTGTTTGTCTAAACGTGCCCTGACATTGGTCCGTTGTTTGATCCGCGAGATTTACTATTTACGGCAGCAAAAGACAAAATAATCGATTCTAAGGATTCTACCTTGGGCCACAATTTGGCGCGGGATTCGAATTAACCCATTCACTCCCAAAGACGTTTTTAAACGTCTTTTCAGACTTAGTCTACAATTGGCTTGTACTAAATGAGTTCAGGTGAGTTGATCTTGAGTGACTTCTTTTTTTCTTTTTCATGATGCATTTTTTTGACTAGGTCCCACTCGATAGTGGATACTCCAGAGCGACAAAATAAAAATATAGTCATATTTTCAGAACAATTGAGTGACATTCGATTCAATTCTCACAGCACCGTATTTTTGAAGGGTTGGTCTCTGACCTGGCAGAGGGTCACTCACGTTTGCTCTGAACTCTCTCGGGCTCATCTGGTGGATCTTGTCGACGGCTTTGGCGGTGAGGCCCGCCAGGTAAGTGTTGAGGTGCTCGCGTCGCTCCTCGCGGCTGCCGCGCTCTGCCACGAGAGAGTAGTGGCTGTCTTGGGCGCGGGCGCGACGGTTAGCCTGCTGCTGGGCAATCTCGTTGGTCAGCAGGCCGTAACGCACCACCAGGTTGCACTGGGGGATGTCCAGGCCCTCTTCGGCCACGCTGGTGGCAATCAGGAGATTGACGGAGCCCAGGCGGAAGTTCCGGATGGTTTTGTCGCGATCTTGCTGCGGGAAAAGCGGCGATTGATACGATGGCGTTGAGTAAAACCTGCGTTGAATTTGTTGAAGGCTAAATCGTCTTTGATGTTATTTGAAACCGCACGTCAGGTTGATCGCCAACTCTAATTTGTGCACTTCCACTTTTGTCGGTCGATGTCAGTCAGCGAGCGCACCTGTGTCATGCCGGCGCTGCCGGTTATGATGGCGGACTTGATGCCGGCTGAGCGCAGGCTGTCGTTGGCGAGCACCCACTGGTGCAGGCAGGACGTGCTCTTGCGGGTCTTGCTGAAGACGATTCCTCTGGACTCTACGCTGGGAGAGAAGTGCCTCCGCAGGGTGCTCTCCAGCTGCTCCATCTTGGGGTTTGTGAAACGCAGGTCGCGCGCCAACGTCGTCAGTTTGGCTTGGTTATCTGCAGGTGAGCGACGGGTGATCAACTTTGTGATTTCCACTGAATTCCAGTCCCACCTTGGACAAGATCTGATAGTTCAGAGGTTTAATTCGCGCGCAATCTGGACCACGTCTGGATTCTGAATTAGTACTAATAATCTGTTCTTCATGATACTTGAGTAATAAATATCGAGACATTTTCATTTTGAGTAAAAAAATATCTGAACATCTGACTTTTTTCTTTGTGTGCAATCTGGATCAACTCTGGATTCAGCAACAAATTGCAACCAGATCGAATGGGCTCATTAGTCATAAATGACGAAATATGTTCAATCAAATATTCCATCTTAAATTTTAATTCATGTACAATCTGGATCAAATCTGGATTCAGCATTTCAGATTTGGATTCTGATCTGAAGACATTTGAGGTCGAAACATCGAAATCTTTGAATTGAAATTTAAAGTCAAATTGTAAAAGTGGTATTTGTGACGACATATGCAGTCCATTTCAAATCTGGATTAAGCACTCGGATAAGAAATTTGTCATTTGCATTGTTATCTGATCACATTTGAGCTTTAAACATCTGAACATGTTCAATGTTAAAATGTGCAATCTCGATCAAATCTGGAATCTGCATTAGTGCAGCAAGGTGCAACCTGGTCTGATCACCTGGTGAGTTCCAAATATCTGAACAGATAATCTCCGTCGTCTGTGGAGAAAGTACACAGGCAACCACTTTCCGATTACCAGACAAATAAGCGCCCACACCTTGGAAAAGATTCACCAGGAAACGGTCGGTGTCGTCGATGATGGTGGTCTCTCTGTAGAAGTCCTTCAGAGAACACAGCGCGTCCTCCATCAGCAGTGTGTCGTTGATCAGCAGCGCGTCATTGTACTCGCGCAGGTGGATGGCACATCGTATCAGTCGCCTGTTGCACTCCTCCACACCTGCACCAACACATCGATTGCCGTGTTCACATCAGCTAAATCCGAATCCAATCTGGATTTGGATTTAGCACAACATATTGCAACTCGATGACATTTTAGTTGTGATTGGCATGATTTGCACAGTAGATGTCTCTATTATATATGTGAAAATTCATATTGAAACTGAGTTCCAATTTTGAAAATAAATACATTTAACAAGTATTAAAACATGATAAAAAATGTTATGACATTCATTTCAACTAGGATGGGGTCAGAATAAATTTTTTTTCCTATAAAAGTCTCTTCTGCTGAAGCACCGTTAATTCACACTAAAACTAAATCTGAATCCATTATTTTTTTTTAATCAAAATGTACACTTTTGAGTGAGCAACATGGAAATATTTGAATTGTGACAAAATGTGCAATCGGAATCATTACATGTTCCTTTTTTTTCAAATGTAATTTTACAGGTGGTAATATAACAATGATACGAGACCTCTCTTTTGCAATGCGACTATGTTGCTCTCGTAATCTTGCGTGCCAAACTCTCGGGGGATGAAGTCCTCGGGAGGCTGCATGAAGCAGTGGATTTGTCGCATCATCCACTGTACATGGTCACCAAATGGATCCTACCAACACACGGGTACTCCCGATAATGTTGATAATTACATTCGAAACAAAATGGTGGTGGGGGGTGTGGGGGGTGGTACTTACTTCCTGCCTTTCCTCCACAATGTCAAACCTTTTCACGGGTTTGGGTACTTTCATGTTGAGCTCCTCGGTGCAGTTTTTGGTGCATACGATGGCACAGTCCAAGTTGGCACAGATCTGACACATGCATGCAATTTTAACTCCACTTAATTTTAATATGTACACTTATGATTACTTCACTTTATTATAACAATAATAGTAATAATACTGTAATAACTATTATATTATTTTTATTATTGTATGATAATAATGATGACGATGATGATGGAGATTATTATTATTAAATACGTAATGATAATTACCGAGTTAAATAAACTACAGAATGGACATTTAACAAAAATTCAATCGAATGGAAATGAAATGAAATCTAAGTATGTACGTTAAGTGTTGTTTGTACCTGAAGTACATACTGCACAGCCTTGTCCAGACTTTTGGCTCCTCCCGATCCCGGCGACGCTGTAAGGCCGAGGACCTGGGGCAGCCGTTTGTCGCCCCTCATCTTCTTCTCCAGGTAGAGCCTCATGATCTTGTTGTACACCGTCTCCTTGTGCGTGTGATGGCACTCGTCCACCACCAGCAGGGTGATGTCTGCAACCACATTATCGAGATATTACCCAGTCTTACCGTGGCAACATGCCCTCCCACAAATTGTTTCTGGCCGACCCACCTGAGAGCTCCACGTGCTTGGCTTCCTCATTGCTGGTGAGGGCGTTCAGGAGGATCTGCGCCGTGCACACAAGTACATCCTTGTCACGCAGCACCAATCCCAGGAAGTCCTTTCTGTCGCTGTCGCTGCTCACTGCCGTGACAGCATAATGGTGCCCCAGGGCGGGATGGAACTCTTTGCTGTAGTGCTGGTCCACCAGGTGCACCTAGACCCAATTAATGCACCCAATTGTCAAATGTGCTGTATGTATTTCTTCCCTCTCACAACATACAACAAGAGGAGCCGCTGCGGGTGCCCGCAGCGCCATCAAAAGAAAAGTTAACATAAAATGACAAAATAATACAACACAACACATTAAACACAGACAATCGTGCAATCTTAACCACTTTCCTGCATACACTTTGTTGTCTGAAGCAGTTAGAGATGAAAGAGGAGCGAAATCAAAGTGTCCTTTTCACCAGTGAATCAAAGACGTCATGCTGCAATGTGCACACGTCTGCTACAAGCTAAGCTTGAAAGCAACAAGAAGCTGTAGCTTCCATTTCACGAAAATTTTATTTTTAAAAAATTATTTATATAATTTATAATTTTTATTGTTTTTATCAACGCACTCACATCTTTAAAATCTAAACCGATTTTATAAAGACGTCATGCTGCAATGTGCACACGTCTGCTACAAGCTAAGCTTGAAAGCAACAAGAAGCTGTAGCTTCCATTAACGAAAATTTTATTTTTAAAAAATGATTTATAGAATTTATAATTTTTACTGTTTTTATCAACGCACTCACATCTTTAAAATCTAAACCGATTTTATAAATCTAATCAGTTTTCGTTTCACTTCTAGTCACTTGAGTGGTATTGTCGTGAAGTGAAAAATACTGTAAAAAGACTTAGTTAAAACATTTACAAATCAATAAATGAGACTTGCTCACATTTGTACCAATACGCCCATGATAGCTGGATTTATTATTAGCATTATTATTTCGTTACCGTATTGACAAGGACCACCACTTTGGCCCCAGGCGTCCTCTCCAGGTGCTTGTGGGCCACGAAGACAGCGGCTCGCGTCTTCCCCGCTCCCGTGGGCAGCCACACGATGATGTTCTCCCCTTGCAAAGCCCTCTGGACCACCTCCTCCTGGTACCCGTACAGGACCAGATCTGACATCGCGACACGTCTGGGACACGGTAACAAAAACTACTTGATTTCAACTCGGGGTTAAAATTTGCCAATGTTAAGTACGGAGGGGATTGACGAGAGCGATGTGTGCGTGGATGCAGTTTCTAGTTACATGGCGATCAGCTGAGCTGGAGGAAAATGAAAGGACCCGGAAGAAACGAAGGAGGAGCTCATTACGTAAGTATAAGGTTGAAATACAGTTATGACTAAACAATTAAAGTCACGGTGTACCTATCGCGGAAGACATCGATTTTCTTTTTTTTAAAGTGGCTTTGTGGCTTGTGCAAAATAGATAATAAAGCCAAATCCCAATGACGCATTTGGGACATATCGGTACCGCGTTATTCAAAGTAAAAAGTTGGAGAGTAAACTATGGAGCGTGAGAAGTTGAAGTGCACGTGAACGCAGCCGCATTCTCGTGCGCCTTGTCGCGTCGGGAAAGTGAAACTCACGGTGAAGACGTGACGAAATGAAACCGAAATCCAGTTTTGTGACGAGATAGTGGCTGGGTTGCGTTGACTGATACCTTTAATTTAAAACAGATGGCACTATCAAACACCCTTTACCACCAAAAAAAAAACCAACCTTTTATTGTTATTAACAGTACTACAGTGACAGTAAATAGCATTTAAACCATGACGTCATGGAAATGTAACGCTTGATGTTTGAAGTCGGAAAGAACCGCAAGTTTTTTTTTTCTTTTAACTGGAGGTTTCTGAAGGCAGCAAATTCTTGCGTAGCACCCAATTAATGCACTTTTTAAGCACATATTTTAAGACAGAGGCACAGCAATTTTATTTCTTACCTCTGTTCTATGTAATCACGTTTTTAGCACAAAGAGCTGCAAAACCTGTTTGTGACAGTGATGGTGACAAGACCTAAAACGTTCATTTGAACAAGTGTCAATTTTCGAGCACAAAATCCATTTTGTGCGCTTTCATTTAAAATATATTTTTATATACAAAAATAAACAACAAAAAGGGGGAAAAAAAGACGCAGCAGGGAGCTTCAAGTGTGTCAGTAACCGAAGGCAACGTGGCTTTCAAGTCCCCGAGGTCCAGGTTTTGGCGACTGAACAGGTGGAATGATGTTTACATCTTATAAATAAAGTTGGTGTCCGGTGTAGAACTTTGGTACTGCGTTGTGTCGTGTTCGACTCCTGCTCAAAAAAAACAAAAAACAACAAAACCCAGCAATAACAACAACAAAAAGCTCATTTTTCAATGAGGCCACCATCTTTGAGCTTGAAGTAGAAGAACTTTTCGAGGGTGTTGGCCGACTTGCAGTACTCGCTGTCAGGCGGGTTGTACTCGCGGCAATTGGTAATGATGCGCTGCAGGTCGGCGATGAACAGCTTCTTGGTCACGTAGTAGCGATTCTTCAGGCGCTCGGTCATGGTCTTCAGGTCTGCGGAAAGATGCAAACAACTTCACGCGCTTTCCAACAAGCAACAGTTTGGCAAATGTTTAAAAAGGGGGCTCCAAGCTACTTAATGTCACTTCCGTTAGAAGTTCACTGTCAAACTAAACGAAACAACACACACAGGCATTAAATCTTTATCCTCTGTGCAAAACAGCTTTGTTTGTTTGTATGACTGAATTATACTAGCGCCCTGATTGATAAATTAAAATTGATCACATTTTCCAAGAAAAAGACTTGAATAGGCAATGCTTCGTATTTGTCACCTCTTTAAGATATTTTACATATTAGGTTTAACATGAAATATTTTTCATATTTCGCATATCATCATTCTGTACTGATATGGAATGAGTGTCAGCATACCGATGGGGAAGCGGATGATCTCATAGTAATCGGGTGCTTCGGACTTCTTGACGGGCTCCATGAACGGCCAAGCATCGGGGTGAGTCTACCCAAAAATAAACAAAAAAATAAAAATAAACCAATAAAACATCAGAGCACACAACGGACACTTGGCACAAAATGATGTCTATGAGACAAGACGCCAAATGCTTTTTAACCTGGACATGCTACTAGAGGTATGTGTCAATCTTACCTTGATTTGGGCCAGTAGGTTCTTGAGCATGTTGTATAACACATCAGGGTCCTTCACTTCTTTTCTACAAAACAACTCCTTAGTGTTAGCACCAAAATCAGAGCAAATTATAAAAATCTCTATTTCAAATGACTTAAATTAAAAAGGCCCTTAAAGAGGAGAAACAAATGTATTGCCTCCAATAAAGCAATACTTAAAAAAAAAAGTACAGGACAAAGGAGAATGTGTTAATCGCACCTGTTACTATTACATCATACAAATTAAATTAAATTCAGTGACCCCCGTGAGGATAAGTGGATCATATGAATGGATGAATCCAATTTTGAGCTTGCCCAGCATCCGACAGTTACTCTCCATTACAAATCACAATCATAAAAAAAAATATACAGAGTTTTATGTCGGTTGGAAATGTCTTTGTTGGTGTCACATGATTCCGGTGAAGCCTCAAGACAAATATTTTGTGTCGACTATTTTTTTTTTGGTCCACTTATTGGAGCCCTACTTCTAAGATTTAAATCCCTACTGCACTTACACTTTCTCCTTGCCGCTTGGTTTCCATCCTGTTTCTCCTTCGGGACAACGAAGAAGAAAAAAAACAAAACATGAGTGCATTTTGGCTCGCTTAATACCGTTATTGCGCTGAGACCTAAACACTGACGTATGCCGGGAATACTCTCCACGGGGATTTGTCGCACGCCCTCCTTGAAGCAGGTGAGGCCCGGGTAGACTTTCCTGATCTGACTCTGTTTCCTCTCGATCAGCTTCTTGATGATCTGACAAAGGGGTTCGAGGAGCTATCGAGTTATTCTGTGGACGGACCCGTGGCTCTCCTTGCCCACGTGGCAAATTTTGGCTCACGACTACAAGAAGTAGCAACTGTGTCAAATTAAGACTGTGAACCTCTTTCTGCCTCTTTATGATGTGCGACAGCTCCGTGTACGGGATCCTTGGGTTCAACTCGCACTCCATCAGCGTGGCTCCTTCGTAGTCTTTAATGTAGCCCAGGTAGCGACTCTTGGGCACTTTGATGTCTTTGGAGAAGCCCTGCCAAAAGGAGGAAATGAGTCGAATTTGAGGGAAAAATGGCTCGAGAGTTAAGTGTCAGGAGCTCACCTGCTTCTTGAAGTAGCCAATGGCGTACTCGTCGGCGTAGGTGAGAAAGTAGAGGATGTTGTGTTTGATGTGGTACTCCTTCAGGTGGTTCATCAAGTGCGTGCCGTAGCCCTGATGAAGGCAGAGGAGCGAGCAAAGATGAGGTTTTAGTTTTGAGTTTGATCCTTCAAAATACTTGGTGGTGTACAACGACACAGACGGTTGGATCCAAAATTAAATGGGGAAAAAAAAAAGCTGACAAATCAGAAAATTGATTGTGATGTGTTTCACACTTTTCAAGATATTTTTTCCGAGCTGAAATAATTTTTGACAAAGATTCATATTTTTTTTCCAAATGTGGCATTTTTCCCCCCTCGTGAGTGTATGACAAAGTTGTATATTTCAAGGAGAAAACAAAGTACTACAAAAAAAAAATGTTTTTGCAAGACAAAGTCATAGCCCTCCAAGAATGGTCCTTTTTTTCCCTATTAGTTAATGATGCCAAAAAAAGAACAAAAGTACAACGAGACAGACGGTTGGATCCAAAATTAAATGGAAATTGGCATCATTAACTAATTCCCTATTAGTTAATGATGCCAAAAAAAGAACAAAAGTTTTGAGACAAAAGTGTTTTTCTGAAAGAAAAAAGTTCTGTATCCTGAAAATGACATCACAGTTGCTCAGCACTCAGATAACAACCAACCGCAGCTCATCTTGCGAGCGTCACATGACCAAACTCAGAAAACAGGTGAGCCCTGAGCGTCTGTGATGTCATTTTCAGTCGACAGCAAGTGGCAAAAAAAATGAAAATAGCAAAGTCGTTTGGCATACCTTGACCTGCTCGTTGGAGGTGACGGCGCAGAAGACAATCTCTGTGAAGCCCTGAGTGGGAAACATCCTAAAACAGATGCCCCCGATGACACGGCCATCTTTGATGAGGGCTAGAGTCTTGTGCTTCCTGTTTGGCGGAAAGGACAAAAAGAAAAACTGAGGCAATATCATGAGCGGGCATGTGCGCAGTACAAGATAGATGGATCTTACGGGTCAAAGACGAGGCGCGTGATGTACTCTTTGGGCATGCGAGGTAACTGGTGCGAGAAGACATTCTGCAGGCCCACCAGCCACATCAGGATCTTCTTGTTGGACTTTTGTGACAGCGAGTTGCCGATCACGTGGAACTCGATGATCCCGCGACGTTCCTCCAGACGGGCCGTCTCGTCGCGGGCCGCGTTGGGCGTCAGCAGGTTGGTCTGCAAATGGAAATGCGCTCCGTCACATCCGTCAGATCTCTTTTAAAAATAACAATTTGGCATCGCGTGACCGACCTCGGGACCCAACATGGCGGCGGGGTCCGTGATGGTCATCATGACCTCGTTGACGAGCTCCATGGGAATGTCACCCATCACGCGGATGCGCTTTGCATCCTCCAACGTCAGTGCCTCGGGGAGTTTACGCTTCTCGCCTGAAAAGGGAGGGCAAAAAAAAAAAAATCTAAGGACAAGAAGCGGTTGGCAGCGTTGAACGCGTCAAAGATGCCGACCTGGAATTGGCTCGGAACCTGACGCATCCAGACTCAGAGACGAACCCGCGCTCAGAGCCTTGGAGAGGGCGGACGAGCCTGACACTGGCGCCGGACTGATCACTGGAGAACGAACCGATACTGTCATTTCACTGCATTTTATGTAGCCAAATGCACACTCACTGGTCAATTCATAAGACATCCATCCATTGTTAACTCATTCACTCCCAAAGACGTTTTTAAACGTCTTTTCAGACTTGGTCCAGAATTGGCTGGTACTGAATAAGTTAATGATTGTGCGTAAGGTTTAATTCCACACGTGATAAGAAATAAAAACCCTTGCTGGCCGCCCCGAGTCCTCCCCTCACCCATCTGATGTCCCAGCTGCGCCCCGTCGGCGGCAGGCACGGTGAAGTCGGCCTCCCAGATGGGAGAATTTTCACCGTAGATTTCCTCCTCCAGCATCGACAGAAACCTGTCGGCAACATCAATTGTCACGGGAGAATGCAATGTCTTTAGAAAATGATTGTGAATTCTGGAGAGCGCGTGCGAAACTGAAATGCAGGGGAAATCGTTGAATTGTTCAACTGTAGAATGTAAGACTTGAGGTTGGACTGCAAAATGTGGAAGGAGGAAATATCTCCGTTTGGGAATTCTATTGTAAAAAATGTGGTAATTTCATGAACAATTCCAGATATGGCCTGGCTGAGTGGAAATGGTTCGAATCAATCCCGAAATATGGAAGGGGAGAATTTGTAAATACAGAATTTTCTGATAAATACTCGTCTAAATCAAGCTTTAGTTCTAATTTTGACCTCGAGGGAGCAGTCCTTGGTTGCACTCAGCACTTTTTGTTTTCTTAATCTTGGGTGCCGATGCAGCTGCATGTTAGGATACCTTAAGTGTATGTTATTTATGTTTCATGAAATATTCATAGATTCGACCCATGTTTGGCTCTAGACTACTCAAATTTTAGCGGCAGCCACAAAACTTTAAATTAACATCTTTTAAAATGAACAAATGGAGTGAGAGCACCAGCGTGAGACGTACTTGGGGAAGTGTGTCAGGATGAGCGTGCGCTTCTCAGGCAGCAGCTTGTCCTTTTCCACACGGAACTTCTCCAGGAGCTGGCGCCGCGTGACGGTGAAGATGGACTTGAGCAGGCTGCGCCCGAAGACGTGCGTGGTCTCGTAGCGCGGCAGGCTGTCGTTGCTCTGCGGCACGTGGCAGTAGCACAGCCAACGCGTGTAGTCCACCTTGTAGGCCGTGCCGTCGTCCTTCTGCGTGCGCTGCCGGTACTGCGTGGGGGTCTCCAGCTTCCAGTAGTTGAGGCACAGCAGGAACATCTTGGACAGCTCGAACATGGTCTGGCGCTCCTTGGGCGCCAGGTGGCTGAATTTATACTGCACGAAGTTCAACACGCCCTTTGGAGAGGAACGGAGAGAAAACAGTGGCACATCCATTCACGAGCCGTTGCTCGGCATATTTTTTGTCTTGAGTTCTAAGCAAAAATTGATGACAGTTTTGCTTTCTCACACACACCTGTTCAATGTTAGGTTTCTCAAAAGGCGGATTGCCCAGTGATCCTTCCACCACCGGCTGGCTCATCTGCAGGATGCACTTCCTCAGCAGCTACAGAAAAAATAAAAAGACGTTATTACACACAGGACTAATCTGGATTTTTCCCGAGGTCACCGATTTAACGTGTGTGCTCACCTTGAACAGGTAGAAGTAGACTTGCTTGGTGTCCGTGTTCTCCTCCTTATGCACAGACATGAACAGGTTCTCCACATCCACCACCATTCCCAGCAGCCTGTTGATCTCATCCTCGGACACATTCTCCAGGTGGGACACGTGATCGGCTGCAAGACGCAAAAGCATCGAGGTGATGGAATGTAGGCGAGAAGTCACTGGCACAAAGCGCTTCACGCAGGACTTTCATTATACTGCTTTCAGCAGCGACGTCTGTGTACGTACTAATTCTTATCAGTGAGGCCTTAACAAAATTGTGACATTTTCAGCTACACTACTAAATTAGTGATTTAATTGTTTCATTTTGAAATGTTGGATTAATGTTAGCACACAACAGTATGTAAGAGTTATATAGGTATAATACCACTTCAAATAATATCATGTTTGATAACTTGAAAAAATATGCCCCCCTCTCTGAAAAATAACTGGTTTGGAGATTCGAGAATTCAGCGACTATATACGAGGGTGTCCCAAAGGTCACTGACCACTTCCTTTTTTTTATCCTATTTCGTTTCAGGTATCATTCTGACAGACTTGAGGCTGCTTAGTTTTGTCAACAACAGATTTGTGTTTTGAGGAACTTGCCATGCAAAGCGTAAATGGTCCTATGCATTGGAGCAGTGTGATAACCACAAAGTGTCTCAAACTGGTACTAAAATGCAGCTGGGAGAGAAACAGTTCTTGCCAGGTGGCAATTTTGCAATGCTGCTGCAGTGTCAATTGGCCAGCCTGGGGCAAGAAATTATATATGTACAAAAGCTGCAAAAGTTAAGCTCTGAAATGCTGATGGTCTCAAGTCTGTTCAAATGATACCTCAAACAAAATAGTAAAAAAAAAAAAAGGAAGTGTATGGTGACTATGGGACACCCTATATTGAGGATGCTGCTTACCCAGGGCATGTCCACAACTGCGGCACGGCTCGCTCAGGCTGGCGGCATGTTGCTGCAGGTCTACACGGGGTGCCGTGGGGGGGTTCGGGTTCTTCCATCCGTTGCATTTGCAGGTGTCACTAGCCTGAACACGAACACACATACCAGCGGCAATGAATGAATTGTAACAACAGCGAGTGGACTACATGTAGTTTGTTATTGCTGGGCGCCTGGAAGCTAACATTCATTTTAAAATCAATTAATGAGTATAGCTATCCACGTACACTAGCTGCATGGGGTATGTTACCATTAGCTCCTATAGCTACGTGTTTATGACTTCTTCACTTACGACATGGTAAATGAATAAATACAATAATTCTCGTGGAGTGCTTTGTTTTGAACTTTAGCCAGCCTGGCTAACTGGTGAGCTAAGTACCTTGCATGCAGAGAAAACGCCAAGTTTCTCGAGCTTCTTCGCCCGTGGAAAGGCTCGAACTTGGGCTTTCTTTTGGCTGGCGCGTTGCTGCTGGCTCAGCCCAGGCCTGGCTGGGTCGCTGTTAGCCGAACCGGAGCCGGTTGCGACGGCGGCGCCGGACCCAGTCGATCCTGCAGCCGACTGGCCTTGGAGAAGCCGGGGTTGCAGGCCCTGCGCCGCCGGGTCCGACATTTCAAACGTCTTCTTCTTCTACTTCTTCAGTGGCCCGTGAGCTCATCGGTTGCGTTTGGTAGTGGCTGGGAAATTTACAAGAAAGGGACTGATAGAAGGGATTATATTCCCTGTCCGTTTTGAATTCATTGATTTTTGTTGTCAAAATACAGTCTAAGACTCATAATTAAACGTTGAAGCCATATGTTACTTTTGTACACTCGAATTACCTGTTTTGTTGAGGGTTTGTTGAGAAACAAATTACAGTGGATTTACCTTTGCATACGTTGGTCAAAAATGGAAGTTTATTGAAATATTTATAATTAACTACGTACCTTTATAGTACTTCATTGTATTGTAACTCGTCAGCTAAAAAAGCAATACAATTTCTGAAGCTGTCGTACCAAAATCAGCTCGGGTTTCCGCTGCTTTGAAGGCAACGCAAAAGCACAGTTGCACGAGGATTGTGGGTAATGTAGTTTTAAAAGCGTTTCCACCATAAACGAACATTGGGAATAAATATTTTGAGTTCGATTTAAATTTTTTCTAAAAGATTTTCCCATTGTGGGACTGATCTATAAAACTTTAAAAATATATATATATAAAATCTTCCATTGAAAAAAATAGGTGTCACGAAACTGGATCCACTTGATAAGTGCTTATCAAGAATTAGACTCAGGAAAAAATATAACTGCTCCAGGTTTATTGGTAAAATTACATTTTCTTTTCTCCACTCTCCTTGTCACTCTTCTACGCATAGTACAAATGAAGAAAACCAAGGCAAGCAACTCGATTCACAAAGATGATGGGACAGGAAAACGCTGAGTCGAGAATATCGATTCACAAAGATCATGAGACAGAACCAGTGCATTTAATACCATAGATTCAGAAATCCAGAATTAAGACATGGAACAAAATCAAAAAACAAACATCAGAAAATAATGCTGAGAAAGATTGGTAAGATGTTTTGTTTCTGATTGGTTATGAACTCCACAAATCTCCATAGAAATACAACAAAAAACAATCTCATTGTTTTTTTGTTTAATGTTCAAACTACATATGGCTGGCGCTGATGTTAATGCTGCATTACTATTTTTATGGTTGGGTAGTCTAAAAATTAAAAAAAATAATAAATCGAAGTGTCCAACAGATGTTATAATATTGAGAGGACAATATTGCAGCTACACAGTTCTACCAGGAAGGAAGTCTGCCTGTTCTCCATCTTTTCAGTCCTTCCTGTTGCATTACTTTTCTACACAAATACAGAAACAAAAGTGAGCTTTCATGATTTTTTTTAATAATACCATGACTAGGATGTTTGTTCCCCTAAGAGTCCACCATCAAGAGTTTTTTTTTTTTTTTTTTTGGGTGGGGGCTTTAAAACATGATTGGTCGCCAGGCCGATGATGTCGTCAGCCAAACAGTTTGTAATTTCCACTGTGTTTTGGTCCCAACGCGATGACGTTGTTTGACAGCTGTCTTATCGTATCCGGTCCGCTTCATCCGAGCTGGTTAAGTGGCAGGGAAGAGAGACGTAGAGGAAGCCTCGTGAGGGTTAGTTGCCCCCGCTGCTGCCTCCACAACACTGGCTGCTGCGACCCTGGGGCGCGGCCTCCTGCAGGTCCACGCCTCCTCGGGCCCGGCCGCCGCCGCCCGCACCGCCCTGCGGCTCCTTCTTGGGAAGCTTTTTGGCTGGGATTTAAATTTTTTCTAAAAGATTTTCCCATTGTGGGACTGATCTATAAAACTTTAAAAATATATATATATAAAATCTTCCATTGAAAAAAATAGGTGTCACGAAACTGGATCCACTTGATAAGTGCTTATCAAGAATTAGACTCAGGAAAAAATATAACTGCTCCAGGTTTATTGGTAAAATTACATTTTCTTTTCTCCACTCTCCTTGTCACTCTTCTACGCATAGTACAAATGAAGAAAACCAAGGCAAGCAACTCGATTCACAAAGATGATGGGACAGGAAAACGCTGAGTCGAGAATATCGATTCACAAAGATCATGAGACAGAACCAGTGCATTTAATACCATAGATTCAGAAATCCAGAATTAAGACATGGAACAAAATCAAAAAACAAACATCAGAAAATAATGCTGAGAAAGATTGGTAAGATGTTTTGTTTCTGATTGGTTATGAACTCCACAAATCTCCATAGAAATACAACAAAAAACAATCTCATTGTTTTTTTGTTTAATGTTCAAACTACATATGGCTGGCGCTGATGTTAATGCTGCATTACTATTTTTATGGTTGGGTAGTCTAAAAATTAAAAAAAATAATAAATCGAAGTGTCCAACAGATGTTATAATATTGAGAGGACAATATTGCAGCTACACAGTTCTACCAGGAAGGAAGTCTGCCTGTTCTCCATCTTTTCAGTCCTTCCTGTTGCATTACTTTTCTACACAAATACAGAAACAAAAGTGAGCTTTCATGATTTTTTTTAATAATACCATGACTAGGATGTTTGTTCCCCTAAGAGTCCACCATCAAGAGTTTTTTTTTTTTTTTTTTTGGGTGGGGGCTTTAAAACATGATTGGTCGCCAGGCCGATGATGTCGTCAGCCAAACAGTTTGTAATTTCCACTGTGTTTTGGTCCCAACGCGATGACGTTGTTTGACAGCTGTCTTATCGTATCCGGTCCGCTTCATCCGAGCTGGTTAAGTGGCAGGGAAGAGAGACGTAGAGGAAGCCTCGTGAGGGTTAGTTGCCCCCGCTGCTGCCTCCACAACACTGGCTGCTGCGACCCTGGGGCGCGGCCTCCTGCAGGTCCACGCCTCCTCGGGCCCGGCCGCCGCCGCCCGCACCGCCCTGCGGCTCATTCTTGGGAAGCTTTTTGGCTGAGAAGGATCACAAATAGGTGGAAACGTTTTGTTCAAACAGCACTTCATTTTACAAGCATGCATGCACGCACAGAAAATTACTGTATTCTTGACAGTCAATAAAAAGCCAACAGTTGTACATTTTTCTACTGACCCAAATACAAAATGTAAATTACACGGTAAATAGAAAACAGAATAATCGATCCACCCATCTATGGCAAGTGAGGCCATTTCCTTTCTCCTAAGCAGACAGCCGTATTATAAATATGACGCTTACCTATAGCCATAAAAATCTCATTCACATTCATGGCGGTCTTAGCCGACGTCTCCATGAAGAGCAAACTGTTGTCATCCGCGTATGCTTGTGCCTCCTGATGACAGCGGAACAGAGAAGCACACACGTGAGAAATCACACAAATTTAAAAATGCATCCTTTTCAGTCTTTACCTGGAAATCGACAGCCCTCTTGTTGGCCAAGTCCGCTTTATTCCCTGCCAGAGCAATAACAATGTTTGGGCTGGCCTGTCGCTGCAGCTCTTTCACCCAGTTCTTTGCACGTGTGAACGTGTCCTTAAAAAAAAGAAGAAACATCAGATTTTTTTTTATGTGCTACATATGACCGAGTGACATAAAAGCACAAAGGTCTTTAACAATGAAGTAATCATCAACCCAAACAGGAGGACAAGGGACAGCGCACCAATAGCAAAAGTCAGCCCATCTGGGCTTATCACTCACTGTGTTGGTGATGTCATACACAACGATGGCTGCCTGGGCGCCTCGGTAGTACATGGGCGCCAAGCTGTGGTAACGCTCCTGGCCCGCAGTGTCCCAGATTTCAAACTTGACTGTTGTGTCATCCAAGCATACCGTCTGTGTGAGGAAGGCCGCTATGCGGGAAGCAAAGCAAAGTCTGTTATCATTACCGTGTATGTCTGTCCAAAGGGAAAACTCCAAATGTGGATTGAATTTTTCTACATTGAAAAAAATATATATATATTTTTCTTGGTCTAATTATTTAGTGTTGTATAAAAAGAAAATGATTTGTTTATTGGGCAGTTTGATTTCAAGCTGGGATGGCCAACTGGCAGATCACGGGCTGTATGCGGGCACTGGTCCTGTGATTAATTTTTATGAATGGGGAAAAAAAACATTCCCCTTTTAAATATTAGTTTTGATTTTTTTGGTTTTTTTTACAAACCCCTCAAAATTCTTCCCCCCCAAAACTGATACACATATATTATACGTTCACATGAAAACAGGAGGCAAACGTCAAAAAATATATACAGAAAAATGAAAGAAAAAAATATGACAATGTGCAACTGGGAATATGAATCAACTGTCGTTTTTCAATTGTAATATCAAAATTCACCACTAGATGACAGAAATGTCTTAGGCGGTCTTAGGCTGACTGCCATACACTACAACATGAGTAGACCAAATACTATTTTTGTGGCGTTGGAATGATATGCAGGACAAACATAGGATCTCAATAATATTTAGAATTTGAATGAGTTGATTATTATTACTATTATTTTTTTTTTTTTAAAGATGCCCAAAATTTGTTCTTGCACTTAATGTTGGTTTACCGTTCAGCAGTTTTGTGCTGCCGCCCTTGAATGGTAACTGCTGACTCGGGTCCTTGTCACATGACAGAGGAAACCAAGCTCTCACTTCCACAGCACATACTTGAACACATTAGTAATCTTTGACCGGCACTGCCGCTGACTTAGCGGAGTGTGAAGGTTAAACCCACCTCCGATTGTGCTCTCCTGGTACTCGTGGAACTGGCCTTTGACAAAGCGTAGCACCAGGCTGGACTTGCCCACCGCCGATTCGCCCAGCAGCACCAGCTTGAACTGGCAAATTTTGTTGCTGGCTGCCGCGGCACCGTTGGTCCGCGCAGGTCCGCCTCGTCCGGCCATAGGTGGGACTTTATTCAGGGTGGGGGAAGGTGTAAGAAGCAGTGGTAGGGTGGCCGGGTTCAGTTAAGGCAGGAGCCAAGAGGAAGAGACCAAGCCAGGGGAACTGAAAAACAGCAAGTTGTTACACACATTAAATTACGATTGAGTTAAATTCTGATTCTTTTTACTTTTGTACAGACAACGTAGAGTTATGTTTTTCAGCTGTAAGATCACATACTGGATCCATATAAACATGTTTTGGTATCATCAAGAGTGGGAAGAGCAGCAATAGAAGCATACGTGGGTTGCCGTGACTGGCACAGCTTTGATGCTAGTACAGTCCCCAAAAAATAAAAATTCAAGCCAGGACAGCGACCACAAATATTAGTACTATTCTCTCCATCACACTAAAACCACAAAGTGGTCCCAGTGGGTCAAACTTCGACTTATTTCATTGATTACAAGTTTCATTTTCATGAAATGAACACTGCCAAGTGTTGAAAAAAATCACATTTCATCAAGGGTACTCAAAAAAGTCAGTCAAGTGACCTCGAAATAGATCAAATAACAAAAAAGAGGAGCTGGACTTCACACTTAACTTCCTGGCTGACACCATCAGCATGTGAGTTTTGTGGCATTGTGTGTGTGTGTGTGTGGGGGGCGGGGGGGTTTACAATTCAGAAAGCTACACTTGCACTAACATGTTGCAAAACGTGGAGGTCAGCCAGCTTCGGCGCTCAGCGACAGGACAGGAAACGCAGGAAGTGGAAAGCGAGCAGAAGAGGTTTTTACCGCCGAGCACAATAAAAAGTCTGGAGGAACCTCGGCTTGGTCATGTGGCACGAGTGAGGAGGCGTCGGGCGCCATGAAAGATGAAGTTAGAACATCGCGGCTGATGCAATCAACTTTATTTTACAAGCTGCTGAGCCTGGCTTAATCTTCAACATGTGACGGGAGATCACGACTCCCTCCATAAAATATTCAGCAGCAGCCAATCACGAGGCCGATGGGTACCTATGCGATCAAACGCACAGAAACATCAAGCTGCTCGATTCCTCTGGCCAATATTTAGTGTGGTACAAACCTCACAGTGACTATTAAGAAAGGCTGACTGACCGATTACAAGTTTGTTTTCTTTTTTTTTTGTAGCGGTACCATCATTTTTATCCAGGTCTTTCATTTGTTTTTCTTTTTTTTTAAGTATTCTGTTGAACCCCAATTAAAAAGCAATGGCACGTTTTCATTCATTAATTTTCATAAGATTTTCATTATTTCTGTTTATCAGATTCAATTTATTTCCATGACTACTTTGGGTTTTTCTTTGTGAACCAATTTTGTCTGTGGGTGTAAGTGCAGCTGATCGCTTTCCATTCAGACATTTTTTTTTCTTGGGAGTACAAAGCTTCTCACATTCAACGGATGCTTTGCTTGCATCCTTAAAGGACCTCCTCTGGGAAGTGGGTCAGAGAGTGTGAGCGAGAGAGAGAGAAAGAGAGAGAGACTTGGACGAAGAGGGAAAAGAAAGGCAGGAAGGAGGAGCTGTCAAGAGGGGCAGAACCAGTGATATATTCTTAATGGCCTCCTCCTGTACACGGTCTACACAATGGTCAAAAATTCAGTGACTTAATGTGTACGAAAACTCCGTTTCACTCTGAGTAAACCATCCATAACAGTAGTAGAAACACAGGAGTTCAAACGCAGAAGCCGACAGCAATTTTTTAAAACCCTTGCAGGGGATAGCGCTGACTACAGTGGACACCTTATCATGTTATCAGGTTACAAAGTGGATGACAGGGTTAAAGAGTGGAAATTATTTTTCACAACTGAAGCTGCATGATTTAATGAGAAATAACGGCCGCAGGTGACATGGAGAAAATACGTACAGACTTGCAACTGACTTAAGCGGAGACGAGGATAGCTCTGGCAAAATACGTATGGAAATGGTTGGTTTCTGCCTATTAAATCCTTTTGTTTTTGGCGAGCTTTACATTTTTTTAAGGGTTACAAAATGCATGTGATTTTGTCCAACTGGCACTTGCTGGCTTTTAAACTTGAACGCCTCAGTTGTCGATAGGATTTCGTAAAAAGCCAAGCTCAGCAATGGCGAGGGACTTGGCTATATGTTTGTCTGTCTGTCTGGCATGGGCTTTCGAGTTTCAGGGGAATGTTTAGGGATGCAAACTGGTGACATAACTCAGGAAAGGCAAACAGGAAAGTCATCAACAGCAGTTAGCTGCAAGGTCAGTAGGGAAGAAAAAAAATCTCTGGAATTTCCTTTTCCTCTGACTTCTATGAAGAGAGCATCACTAGAATCAAAAGTTCCGGTTTGATTTCTAATACAACTAAAAATATGCCTCTCAAGCCCGAACTTCCCACAAGACGTCATGAATGTTCCCAGAGAGCTATGGTATACATGCGTCGAGGATTCACATATTCGATTTTTTTGCGACACATATTCCCCCAAAAAAGACTCCAATGTCATTTTGAATCAGTTCAACTAGCAATAAAGCAGTGATATTGTGGTGGTTATAATCCTTTTTTGCAATGGGTATTTCAAAACAAAAGTTGCAGCAACACATATTACAGTTCTCAGAGGTTTATAATGGGTGGGCACAATTTTGGTGTGGTTTTCAAAGGAGCACCATTTTATAACTTAACAGCACAATGTGCAATGATCCTCGTTAAGTTTTGGTTTTTGTGCCGTCCACAAATATGGAACCCACTGGCTCTTTATTCCCACTTGCTGAGTGTCACTATCGGCATGCAACTCTGTGACATGCCGTAGCTACCAGATGTTCATTATCAATGGCACCAGCACACCCCTGAGAAATAATGTAGTCATTGGGTAATTTGTTCTCCCTCACCGGAGCGCTAGCTGTGATGAAGGTACAGTTCTATGAAGGCGAGGTGAGGGGTGAACCTTATTGGGGTACTATTTGTAACCGGAGGGGCTTGAGAAAAAAAATAGGCAAATGCAAAGTGGCATACTAATATCTGGCATGCATTCAATATCTTTCATGTGCATGTGCACCTGCATACCACTTAATTGCACCCCTTCATATATTTTGTTATCCCCTATGAAAAACGAATATTTAGTTGGAAAAATTATCTTTGGCATGTCTGTAAAGTATTGTAGTTCCAAGGAAATCAAAAGGAGCTCAACATCACGTGCCGCCCCGCCTCTTTAAGGCACATGCGTGTGTGTTATTGTACACTGACATGCATTTAAAAGGCGTGGAAGAGGTAATAAAACATATATGATGATCTTTTTATATTGCGCGTTTGCACCTTTGAGAGGGTCTCTATGGCTCATTGCGGGCCGTTCGTATATCGGTATACCTCGTAAACCATGGACCCTGACAATTTTCTACAACCTCTGCGCGGCCCTTCAACGGCGAATCACTGCTTTTAGGTGTCTAGCACTCAAGCTACACAACTAGCCAGGCTAGCGTCAGCTCTGGCCACTATCCTTAGCCAATGCTAGCCCGTTAGCATCATCAGCTGAGCTAACGGCGAAAGATATCGGAAGGAAGGAAGGTCCCTCCCCCCGAAAAAAAAAACTTCACATTCCGCTTACGTGAGCAGCCCAACATCAAAGTAACGAAAACGCAGTTTGGCAAAATACAACAAGGCGCTCCTCTGGTTTGTTACTGTGGCCGAAAATTATGTCATAAGCGGGTGAAAAATATGACTGTCGCGTCATTTTTTTTGCTGGACGGTCAGTTCAGTCTCGGCAACCTAGCGAAGCAACCCCGCCACTTTACTGAGATCGCTTTCAAAACCTGAACAACGTCTACTTAGTATACATTAATAGATAGCCGGCTCGAATTGATCCGCTGATTGGTAAGCGTAATTTGAATAGATTTGACTTACATCACTTTTTCTTCTTTGAGTGTTCTCATCGGCCGTCTTCTTCTCCGTCTTCTCCTTCTTCTTCTCGGGCTCTGTGGCGTTACCTTCCGGGAACCGCCTACTTTGACGTCACTGTCTGACTAACCAATGACAAGCACACCCAAGAAGTCTCGCAGTCGTATCGTGAGACTTAAATATTTTTGCCAAATACACGTACTGTACTTTCACGAGTTTTTTTGATTTTCTTATTCGCTCATATTTCACCTGCAACAAATCAATTAATAGAGAGTAAATGAAAAAAAAATACTAGTAATACATTGTTTACTGGCCAATGGCAAATTTTAATCAGATGCCTTTATTTATCGGTGTCATTCTATTATGCACCCAACCATGTGTTAACCGTTTATGCTCACAAGGGTATGAGAAATGTTATTCAATTGATTAAATGTACTTTGCCAAAGAAGGGCTTCAAACAGGATGCTCTCAGAGGAAAGTTGACCTGAGTGAGTTTAGAAATGTTTTCCCGATGACACATTTTCATCACAAATTGAAATATAGTGACTAGGCTCTCAAGGCCTTCTGTGGCTGCAATGCATGCTACTGGGCCATCACAGAGCTTTTTGACACTACAACGAGGCACTCTAAAGGCGCAAATTCCTGTTCTTTCCCCATTCTCTATATGTGACACTTGTGGCGAACGTTGAGGCTCTCTGGCTCACCGCATGTTGCAATGGCACCGAATAACCACTAGGCGGTGGAATCCCAACTGCGTCACTTGGCACCATTTTAGCTGTGCTCCCCAAAAATCTGGAAAAGGGAAATGGTAAGAAACAGTTGAACACTGTTGCTCCATAATTACGTCCTGGTGCTGTATGTACATGTTTCCTGCAATTAATTTCAAAATAAATCTCTGAATTCACTTCACAGGGTCTTTCAAAGTACAGCCTGAGTACTTGTGACACATCGGAAACACTAAGCAAATATAGCAGGCCTTTGCGAGGGTAGTCAGTAGGTGTCAGTGTAACCACGCGTTGTTTTGACATTCGCTGAACGCTTGCAGTGAACGTGGCAAAAACAGATGCGCACCGATGTGGTTCAATGTTTTTTGTTTTTTTGCACAATACTGCAATTGGTTTCAATTCCCGCAGGACACCCAACGCAACCTGTAGGGGTCGCGTCGTAACACACAGACTGTGATACAGGCGTCTAAAAAAAACAAGAACATGCAATCAAAGTCGTCAAAGTGCATGACGTCACGCGTTCTCTTTGATTTGTGACGATATTTAACGATTTTTTTTTTAATCGGAGGAGAGACTCCTACGCTTCTGGGAACGGGGGCGAGCGTGTCGGATCGGGAGGGGCGGCGGGGGAAGGAAGAGGAGGCGTCGGGGGCGCGCCTTTCGCATCGGCTGCTGCTTCTCGCACCCAGTGTGGGCTACTGACAGCCAGCTGTGCGGCTACACGACGACGACAAGAACAGCTGCGAATCCACTGCCCTCCAACATTTAACGCTCCACTCCTCCAGTGCGCGTTTGGGAGGCGAATAAAGCTCAAGGAGAGAGAAGAGAGGAAGAGGAAGACAGAAAAGGGCTCGTTTCGTCGTCGGTTCCTGTGCTAGCTTTGCTAAAGACGAGCATTCCTCCGACATGAATCCGCTGTGTAGCAGATGTAATCTCGTCGTCTACCCCACGGAAAAAATCAATTGTCTGGACAAGGTAAGCGCACTGAAATCCTTTTAATGGTCACTTTTGTGTTAATAAATAACCAATGTTCAGTCACTCCATTTAGGCTTGGGGTTTTTTTGAGCTGTAAAAGGGAGACACCTTCCGGATTTTTTTTTTTTTTTTTTTTTGTGTATAAAACAAGAGCCCGAAAACCCGAAGGGGCG